AGCTGCAAAACCTGACCCAGTGATCCTAGGATTCCGTGCAGAGTTTCAAAAGCCAAGATGCCACTAAACTCCCAACAAATCATAAGGGCTGTCACCTCTAAGAGGTAATACCCTGTGCTCTGCAGAACGAACTCCTTGATCATTCTCCCTTTGGCCACACTGGGCCAATTTAGGCTGTGCTTGTACTTAAAGTAGAAAGAGGGGAGTGGGAGGGAAGGAAGAGTGTTTCAAAGGCTTTTCTAAATTTAATTATATGTCATTTTGTAATTGTATTTCATAATTGTGTAATTATCCCTGACTATTTTTCTTTAAGTAATAGAACTAGTAATTACATACTAATTGAAATGTGTGATCTCATCATTAGGATATGTAAATATATAGTAGTGTGAAGAAAGGTAATTACAATCCTAAGACTAGCAAAACCTCACACATTCCCTGCTTCTACTCCTAAGCTCTTTGCTCCAGTGGGTTTAGAAATCTCACCTGGACAGGGAAGATAGGCTCCAAGGTCTAGGAAGCATGTGACCAGCACCTTTCCCAGCAAACCTGGGCAGCAAACATCAAGATCACCTACCTTCTTGCCACAATCCTACCCACAATGCCTCTTGTGCTCTCTCTCTCTCTCTCTCTCTCTCTCTCTCTCTCTCTCTCTCTCTCTCTCTCTCTCTCTCTCTCTCTCTCCAACTACAAAGGGGTTGGATAGGAGGCTTGAGGAGAGAGGTTGATAGCTCTCTCAAAACTATCTGAATTAAAGGGCCAAATTGGCCATGACTCTTGTTCCTACTATGCACAAAGGGAAAAATTAATATAACCCTTGTCTTAGGGTTTCTATTGCTGCAACACAACATCATCATCAAAGAACAAGTTGGAGAGGAAAGGGTTTATTTTGCTTAAACTTCCATAATCAGAGTCCATCCATCACTGGCAGAAGTCAGAACAAGACCCAAATAGGACAGGAGCCTAGGGACAGGAGCTGTGCAGAGGCCATGGAGGGGTGCTGCCTACTGGCTTGCTTCCCATGGCTTTTTCAGTCTACTTTCATGTAAAACCCAGGACCACCAGCCCAGGAGTGGCACCACCCACAATAGGCTGGGCCCTCATCTATCAATCACTAATTCAGAAAATACCTTATAGCTAGATATCATGGAGGCATTTCCACAACTTGGCTTCTTCCTCTCTGATGACTCTAGCTCATGTTGAGTTGACATACAAAATCATCCACTACAACCCTCTAGCTCTGAAGTAGCTGCCATACCCTTGATCAACCATAGATTCGTATATACAGTTGTCTGGGTAAGTATTCCTTATTGTCCATCTTCCTTAGCATATTGAGTTTACCAAATAAGAACACTTGTCTCTCTAGGGATGAGGCCAGATCTGCTCATAGTTGTGCTTTGAATGCTTGTTGCCTCTAAACTTTCATGTTGAAATTCATTTATCATCCTAACAATATCAACAAATGTGTTCTTGCCAAACCTGCTGGTTGTGATCATTTGTTTTACAAATCAACTTGCCACACCCAGAATTACCTAGGAAGTGAGTTTCAACTGAGGAATTATTTAGATCAGATGGCCTGTGGGTATATCTCTGGGGGATTGTCTTGATGTTAATTGATGTTGGAAGACACCATTCCCTGGGCAGGAGAAAGCTAGATAAAAACAGTAAGCAAGTGGGTATCATAGGAGCATTTATTTCTCTCTGCTCTTGACTGTGGCTGTGATGGGAAAGTGACATGTCAACTCAAACCACCAAAGATAGGTGGAAGATAAGCATGGTAGAGAAGTCAAAATACAAGACAGCTGAGGTAACAAACAACAGGTGACCACCACCAACACCAGTTCCCAAGATGTGAGAACATAATCTGTTATGGTATAGACCATAAGCAGATGGTCAGCAAAGGCTGTAAAGGAGACAGCCCAGACTGAAGCACCTTGTAACCTTTAGCAAAGCTCAGACTTGGAGTTGAAATATAGTTCATTTAGTATAATGTTTGCCTAGCATCCATAAAGCCCTAGGTATGATTCCCCAGCAGCACGTAACCCAAGTGTGATGGTACACAATTGTACTCCCAACACTCATGAGGTAGAAGCTGGGGGACCCAGAGTTCATGAACACCCTCATCTAAATATAGAGTCCAAAACCATCCTGAACTTACATGAAATCCAGTCTTTAAAAAAGAAAGAGACCGAGGAATGGCTCCATAGGTAATAGTGCTTGCTGGCTGAGTTTGAGGACCCGAGTTCAAATCCCCAGGACATACATAAAATGTTGGGCACGGTCATATGTGCTTTTAATACTGATACCCACCGGGCGTTGGTGGCGCACGCCTTTAATCCCAGCACTCGGGAGGCAGAGGCAGGCGGATCTCTGTGAGTTCGAGGCCAGCCTGGTCTACAAAGTGAGTTCCAGGACAGCCTCCAAAGCTACAGAGAAACCCTGTCTCGAAAAAAAAAAAAAATACTGATACCCACTGGAGAGTAGTAAAGACAGAAAATCTCTGGGAACCACCAGCATAAGTTGAAATTCAATGAAGTACCCTGTCTCAAAGCAATAAGGTAAAGCTTGTTATAGCAGGACACCTGATGTCCTCTTCTAGCCTTCTAGCCTCTGCAGCACACATACATAGGAGCTGATAACATACACATATACACAACACATGCCTGTACACACACACACAGAGAGAGAGAGAGAGAGAGAGAGAGAGAGAGAGAGAGAGAGAAAGAGAGAGAGAGAGAGACAGAGGGGGGGCTGCTGTGCACTTGGAAAGGTCAGAAGACAATCTCAGGCGTCAATGCCTCTTTCCACCTTGTTTGAGACAGGGTCTTTTTACTATCGCCTGCTGTCTACACCAAGCTGGCTAGCCTGTGAGCTTCCACAGTTCTCCTGTTTCTGCCTCCCATCTCCCCACAGGAGCTCTGGGATTACAAATGAGTACCAGCTACCACACCCAGTTTTCCATGGGTTCTGGTAATTCAAATTCAAACCCTCGTGCTTGTGCAGCAAGCACTTTACCCACTGAGCCGTTTTGCTAGTGCTGAACTTCATAATGGCTTTCAATAATCAAGATAAAAATGTAGATCCACAGTGTCGCAGATTCAATTAGAGAGCATCATTAAGTGCCTGGCACATAATGAATAGGAAGCAATGGTCAGAGAAGATAATAAACCTTTGCCTGTAGGATTCCTTCCTCCTTCCTAGAAATTGCCTCTAGCTGCTTGGCTAACCCACCATCTTACTGCCCATCCTACTAAGAAAAAGAGCTACTATTTACTGAGCAATTAGTAGCATTCCTTGAATTATCTCACTTAATTCATCCAACAACTCTGTGAAATAAGTAATGTTATTATCTTGTTTCCAGATGTGGAAATCAAAGCTTGATGAGGTTGCAGTACTTGTTTGAGTTATATGACTGGTAATTTTAAGTATCTGTGGCTACAGGGTCCATCCATTTGCCTGCCTCATAGTAAACCTCTCATGGCAGGCCTCCAAAATCAAGCAGCCCTTTACATAGAGTTTCTATGTACTGGACACTGTACCATATTCAAGGACCCAGAAATAAGTATGATCCAGAGGTCTTCCTTTTATATATGAACTAACACACTTAACAAAGTACTGTTAAAGGCAAAGGACATCATGGAAAGCCTGTATTGGGAAGTTTGGAGCTCACCAACTGTGTTGTGGAACTGAACATTCTAAGACAAGCCTGTGATGGGCCAGTGGCCAAAAGAAAAGGATGTCATAGAGAACCACATTCAAAGAACAGAGTTCAGGGGACTCTTAAGAAGTTCCTGAGACAAAGTTTGTGTAAGGATCATGAGATGCATAAGACTGGATATGCCTTGAGGACCCTCCAAGACATGCTGAGGGATGTGTGAATTAGCTGTCAAATGGTGAGAATTGCTAATGGGGTCTAAGTGGGAGAAGACATTTCACTCTGAAACAGATTGGATCCACTGTTAACAGGGAATGGACAAAACAGGAAGGAAGCCAGAGGCAGGAGGATTCTCTGTTGGGGAATATTGTGGTAAACCAAGAAAGAGATGATGAGGACCTCACCTGAGAGCACTTTCCACAGGGTGGCGACGAGAGAAAGGAGCCACCCACCATGACAGATGCAACATCTCCCTGCCTAGGTTACTGGGACTGTGTGGAGGATGCAGGAAATGCTAGGCACTAGGACATTCCCAAACAGGAGAACGTCAAGAGCATGGGGATAAGGGTGGGAGACACCTGTGGAAGTTAAGAAAGAGACACATGATAGGAAGTTGAATACATCACTAATACTCAGGAGCAGGATCTGGGTCAGAGATAAAAATATGTTGGCCATGAAGGAAGACAGAAATCAGGGCAGCAGGAACTGGCACAATCCACCAAATGGAAAACATGGAGAAAAGTCAAAGACAGGAAACCTGGGTGGAGAAAGCAGGGTCCAAGACTTTAGTGGAGGGTGTTGTAAACGTTTCCACAAAGAAGACTGAAAGGGAAATGAGCAGGGATGTAGAGAAATTAGGGCAGCCAAGGGAGAGAAACCAGGCAAAGAGTGAGCAGAATAAGACAACACAATTCTTTTTCTAAGCTTTTACAAAATGGGGGGGGGGGGCGTGCATGAACTATCAGAGGGTGTTGGATCCCCTGGAGCTGGAGTTACAAGCAGTTATAAATGCCCAGCGTGAGTGCTGAGAACCAAACTCAATTCTCTGGAAGAGCAGTAAGAGGTCTTAACTACCCATCTCCAACCCAAGAGATAATCTTTTTGAGGTGTTAGACTGTGAATGGAAGAAGATGGCTTGTTAGCAAAGTCCTGGCTCTAGAGGAGACAGGAGGGCATGGCACTAAGGATGGAGAGGGGGTTGTGTTTCATGAGGAGTGCTTCCTTCAGAGGGCCTGGTGGTGGTGGAGTATCTTGGACCTTAGAGGAGAAAGCTCAGAGAGCAGAATATTTTACTGAGTTTGGAACCATATGTTTGCAATAGACCTGACCACCATGTCTCTGTACTTACCAACATCTGAGCACAGGAATGATGAAGTCATTGGTTCATGGCACAAGTGGGGAGAAAGGAATGAGTCCAAGAAGTCTTGGCAGATGCTGACACACACGCAGTTCATGATGGCTGACAACTGTTCCCACTTCAGAGGACTTCCTGCTAGGTACAGAATGCAGTGAAGACATGGATGCGATGACAGGCGGGGACTAAAGAATCCAGAGAATGGGAGAAAGAGTGCCGGGGTGCGTACAGGAAGAAAAGGGGAATCTGAAAATAGTAAATGATAACCTGGAGCGATAGGAGGAAGAGCCAGCAGTTAACATCCTAGAACATCACAGCAGGGCTATCCCAGCCAACACCAAGGTGCACGGCCTGACTGAGGACATGACTAAGATTATTGAGTCAGGAGGTCAAATATTTCAGAAACCATACACTAAGTGCTGTCTACACCATCCTTTCTGAAACGTTAAAAGGAGAATGCATGAATACCTGAAGCAGACAGAGCCTGATGTTATGATTATCTTGGGAACCATGGAAGGCAAATGCTAATTAAAATGTGGGCAATATTTGGCAATGCAGCGATTAGAAAAAGCAAACCCAAGAAAATAGCATGACGCAGTCATTACAAAGGCACTTTAATTAATGTCCTTGACACCTGGTTCCCCAAGAATGACATCGAATCAGAAATATGGATTTTCATCTCAGCTATTCTGCTTCAAAGTTAGAGGTGTGGGTCACATCATAACCCCTTTGAGCTTTGGTTTTCTTCAGCTGAAAAACATGGGTAACAATATTGTTATCAGTTACAGGACTGAATAAGAAAGTGATTTGTAAATAGTATGTATCAAAGATTCCCAGACATATATGAACCTTAGAATGTCCTGGAATAAACGCTAAAAGTATAGACAGAAGGCAGAGGTAAGGGAGATGGCTCCTGATCTCTCTTCCTCTCAGACTCTAATCTACTCCCATCATTCCGCCTGGAAAACCTACAGGAGCTAGCCAGCTAGTGAACCAGGTGAGGCATTTTGTGGTTGATCTCCAGGCCCTTGAAGACATGAATAACCAGCACTCTTCTCTTCCAGTGGCCCTCCACTGCCTTCATGACGAAGCTCACTCTCCTCAGGACAGTCCTTCCATAATCTAACCATCCCATACCCTTCTCACACTCACTGCTCGGAAACTTAAGGTGGAAATGGGGGTCATTCAGACCCATGTGGTTTCTAGACCATGACTACTTATTGTACCATTCTAGCTATTGAACTATCTCCACAGGTCCATTTCCTCTGAGACTGACTCTTCAGCCTTTCTCCAAGGTCTGTCTTAAGTTCTGTCACCTCTGTGAATGTATCACTGATAACTTCCAGCTGGAAAGCGCCTCCCTCACTCTCTGCTACACTCTACAGGTTGCATCTGAAGCATATGGATGCTTCCCCTCAAACCATCTCACATCAGCCATCTGTCACCACTTTCCCCGTAATGAGTTCCCGTGTGGCCAGGTATCATATAACACCTATTAGACTGGAAGCTCCATAAGCAGAGAAACCATGTCCTGAATGCCTTACATTCCCCAGTTCCCAATGGTACACTAGCTTAAGACACACCCTATGTCTTTCTCTAATCCACTGGATCCTGTACCTTCTTTGAGACCTAGTTTAGATAGTATCTCCTGCATCTCCCTATGCAGAACAAATCCATCTTCCTTTCTCCTGCTGTCACTCTGTGCCCTGTATATACATCCCTGCAGAGAGGCCCTGTTCTGGTTGGGAGTGTATGCTCTCCAATCTCTCTGTCTGTGTTCAAACCCTGAGACCCTATTGCTAAAGCCTATGTAACATTGGAAATTTACTATGCCAATTTCTTCATGTTACCTATCACAGGAAATGAGTGTCTCAGTAACGTACTTAGCCTAGAGCTGGGCACATATATTAAATGCAAAATCAGTGTTAGCTTCTAATATTTTTATTTGCCTCTAAGTTTCTTGAAAGCAGGTCTTGCGTCTTGTTTTCTTTTTTTTTTTTTTTTTTGGTTGTTGTTGTTTTGTTTGTTTTTGTTTCCCAGATGTCTATGCAATGTCTGTTATATAGTATCTGCTCTATCCATGATTTGATTTCATGAATGAATATGCGGTTAGTATCCAGTACATATATGGGTGGGTGGGTTGATAGATAGATAGGTACTCCATAAAATGTTGACTAGATGTGTGAGTGAGTGAATCAGTAGTCCATATATATTGTCTGGTTAGTTTGTCGCTTAAAGCAAACAAATGAACAAGGAAATGAATGACTAATAGGCATTTAATAAGAAGGTTGAATGGTTGCATGGTTGAATTAACAAACATATTTTTCCACAAATAGCAGATGTTCCATAAATGTTGGCTGGTTGCATGAATGAGCAAATACCCCCAAGATGTAACTGTAGCCTGAATTTGATGCTAAACAGCTATGAAGCTTGAACATGGGACAGAGGGAAGGATTGATAACATCTGCCCACCCCCATAACTGCCTCTAAAATTGTTCCTTTATCCCTGGCATTTCTGAAACCCACCCTCAACACATGCACTAGACACCTGCTTCTGTATACTGTCTGGGACTTCATAGTGAGACAGAAGCATGGGGATGGGGAAAAGAGCTGGACAAGGGCTGACCTCACCCTCTTCTCCCCACTCAACTGAGGACCAACCATCCAGGATCCTGTGCTCCCAAGACTGGCATCTATGTCACTCTTTAGTGAGGAGGAAACTTTCACCTTAAAACACATTGATATCAAATCCTGCGTTGTTGTTGTTTGCGGGGCAGGAGTGTGCCCACTAATACACTCACACATTCTTGGGGCCATTCCTCAGCCCTGCCTTTACCTTGACAGCCCCAGTAACTCACAGCTCTAGTTAATGAATTATTTTGTAACATGTCTGGAGATGCATGAGCTAGAAATCTCACACATGTTGGAGGATTTGCCATTTCCATTAAACATGCCAGTCATTTCGTGGGTAATTAAATGTGCAATAATGGGCTCTAATTTCCATCTTAAATGAATTCCCAGGAGCAGCAGAAAAGGAGATGCAGAGTGTAATTTTCTCGTGCATTTTTCTCCCCCAAAAGCTTTTTAGCATATGGAAAAAGAGGGACTGAATAAAACGAGTTGGTTTTGAGCTTGTACCACATGTGGGTTTTCTACAGTTGTCCCTGCATGAAGAAAGACAACAATCTCACACTCTCTCCTGAAGTTAGGAAAGAAAGGAGGAGCATGGGCAGGAGCAGAAAATGATCACATTGTCAAGAGGAGGCTTCTCTGCAGACCCTGCCACAGACTTGAGGGCCATCAGCCTTCCACCTCCCCTCCATACTCTTCATGGTGTTAACGTGTGCTGTGTGTATATGCATGCACACACACACACACACACATACACACACACACACAAACACACAGAGGAAAGGGCTTTGCCTTCCAATTCTAGAAGTACAGCTTGGAGCCGGTTTCCAAGAATGGCAGGAAGCAGGAGGAAAGAAAAGGAAAGGGTCCACTTCACACTGTGAAAACAGCACAGGTTCCAGTTTGAGCCTCATCATTAGCTATGAGAATAAGTTGAACAGCTCACAGCCTCCCTGGTCTGCACTCAGAGACATCCCTCCCTTCGTGCCATCTTTGGGGGAATGATACCAAAGGGGCATGAAGCAGGGCTCCTCCTGTGGTTACATATTTGGAGGACTCAGTAGAAGCGTGTCACTGCCCAGGCCTCCCAGGCCTAGGTGTCCTCTGAGGGTTTCTCTGGGTCACCTCAGCTTGGCACGCCTCTTCAGATGGATGAGGATGCCAAGAAGAGGCTGACCAGCAATAAATAAATTGGGCTGCCTCCCTGCTCCTCTGGCTAGTCCCCATACTAGGCCATCTGGAAGGGAGATAAGCAAGTAATCCTGAGGATATATCTCAGGGTATCTCTGTCCAGGAAATGGACTGCGGAATAGCTAAGCTGGAAGCAGGCCTGGGGTGGAGGTGGGTGTGAAGGTGAAAGGAAATGAAATTATCCTGTTGACTCAAAGCTGAGGTTCCACTCAGACAAACGGGTAGATTAAGGTGTCCTGCAAGTGGTGGTGTGGGATGTTTTTCGTGAAGCAAAATATGACCTGAACTGAACAGACATAGCTCTGGGTTCTGTGCAATGGGTGGAAGGGAATAGTCTACAATTCCCAGGATTCACTAGGGGACCCTCGTAAGTTCTACCATTTTCTTATTATTTTTACAAGATTTATTTTTTATTGTTTTTTTAATCTGTGTAAGTATGTGAACATGAGTGCACACACCTGTGGGGACTGGAAATGTCAGACCTCCCAGGAAACAGAGTTACGGGTATCTGGGAGTCACCTGGCCTGGGTGCTGGGACCTGAACTTATTTAGCAAGAACTCAATAAGTGCTCCTAAACACTTACCTACCTCTGCACCCCCCATTTGTTTATTCTCTCTTCACTAAGTGAATTGTCCGAGCATATTTATGAATTGTCAACTTTACATGAGGCAGACAGTTTCCACCATGAATTTAGGAGGCAATTGGATTTAGCTTGTGTCTCTGTTGCATTGTGACTGGCCACTTTCACTTGTCATGTGCTTGAGGTTTCTGAGCCTCGGTGTCTTGATCTCTAAATGAAATCGTTGTGGAGACTGAAGGAGAAACATTCAGAGGAACTGCTGAGAACAATGGCCAGCACTTAGTTATTTTTTTAAAAAAATTCATCCTCACTCTTGTCATGATGAAAGTGTGCTTAAGACCCCAGGGGAAATTTGCATAAAACACACTTTATACAAAATTATGTTCCCTAGGGAAGGGCTCACCTCTCTGCAGCGATGTTGGCAGTTAATGACTGTTAGAGAAAGGGGAGTTATTTTCTCCAGTGGTATAGACACTGTTCAGTCTCACATGCTCCAGTAAAAAAAACTCTATACCCATGTTCGTGTAGGCAACCCTTATAACACTCAGTGGGTCACATACAAAAGATGAGAAAGCAGGAGGGGTTTCTGGGTAGAAGAAGAGGTTCACAGGAGTGGAAGGGGATGAGAGAAAGATGTTGTGGACGAAAATGACCAAACTTCATTATATAAATTGATTAAATTATCTAAGAATAATAAATAATTTTAAAAATGTATACAAGTGTCCAGTAAATACATAAAAAAAGTTGTGTCCTTCAGGGTGAGAGTGTTTTGTTCTTTTCATTGCCTCAAGTGCCTGCCATTGGGTTTTGCACACAGTAGGGGCCATAGCTGTTTGATAAATTACAGTAAATCCTCACTGACCAAGCATAAACCATATCAGCAAAAACTAATACTGGGAATGATCAGTTTGTACATGGACACTGGGCTGAAGAGTCAGTTAAAACTCCATGGGCGCTGGAGGTTACCTTTTGGGTATTTTGTTTGTTGACAAAAGTTTTAGAATATAACGAATTACATATAAGCTGCTAGGTGTTCGTATTACAGTGTTGGTCTGTTTTCTTTTGTGCAATCAATAGTGAATCCCATCTGTCTGGACAGATGCTGTTATACAAAGAAATTCCAGCTTGTATTGAGAAAAAGGAGATACTGAAGAGGAGAATCTGATCACGTAGGCAAGGAAAACTACAGCTGCATCTTGGTAACAGCATCTCCCTGTGAACAGAAAGTCCCTTATGGAAGTATGTTTTGTTTTGTTAAATAAACTTCTGCAAAAAATAAAATGTGTCTCTTGACTAAATCCTTTCCTTCAAGAAGACAACAGGTAGAACCCAAGGCCCTAACAAATCCACAAAGCCATATTCATGCCTTCCATCTGGCAGGTGAAGACACAACATATAAAATGGCTCCACAGCTTGGCCAAGGCTCTCTGTGTCAATAGTGACGGGGCTGGGACAAAATACACTCTCCTGATTCCACTTCACTGATCTTCCACCACACCAGCTGTCTCCTTCTCTGAATATGAATCCATCTGAGGCAGGCAGATGACTGTTTCTCTCCTCAAGCAGACTAAAGGTGTGGGGACACCAGACCTTGAGCAGAAACCCACTTCCCCTTCGGCCTGGGAGCAGGCATCTATGTATTGTTTACTGAAAACAATTCAGTGCTTTAAAGCTTGATAGGGCTCAGATAAGGGCTGGCTCACTGAAATACCATGCCTTCCACACCTCCTATGGCTAGATGCCTCTTCCTGTCCCTGCCCCCTGTGGTGTCTCCCCGATTCTGGGGCCGGAGATTAAACCACCAGCCAGGAGGGTGAGAAGTGGAAAGAATGGTATGTAAATGGATGGCAAAAGTCCTTAAAAAGGGAAGCTCCTTTTTCTTAGAGAGACTTCTCCTGAGATTTCGCCTGAGAGCTCTCCTAAGCGGACTGGGGTCTCCTCCTAAGATGACTTGGGAAATATAAAGTTTTCTTAAAGCAACCGACCGGTCTCTGTGTCATCTATCCCGACCACCTCGCTACATTCTCGGATGCAGGCCGCACAGCAGGTGCGACATAAAGGGACTCCAGCATCACTTAGCAAATGAGGGGCAGGTACAAGCCCTGGCTAGAAGGTGGCCCTGGGGGATAGCTGCCCTCAAGTAGATCCTGCCAAGCAGCTCACTTTTGAAGACCCATCCATGCCTCTGTGTGTAAGCTTTGCAGCTCTAACAACGTGAGGTGGTTAAACATGTTTAAACATCCATCCAAGCCATTGGTGCAGGGGGATTACCCCTGGAGATAATGAGAGCTGATACCTACTTTTGATGATGAAAATATTGTAAGAAAATAGAGCAGGACGATAAGGAAGGAAAGGCTTAGAGGAAGTTGCTAGGAAGTTGCTCCAGAAACAAAGGTCTCTACATAGACCCTCTCTCGCCTCTTTTCCTGCCTCAATTCCTTTTATGGGAAGCCCCAAGCTAGCAATGTAACTCTGGTCCTTGGGAGAGTGAAGAAATAAAGCTGAAGGACTTAGGGTTTTACCCATTGATGGGCACCTTTTTAATTCAGCCCGGTCCCCCACCCACTCCCTGCTTCTGCATATCATCTCCACCCACTTCTTCAAAGGCAGTCTGTGTGGGTCCCCCTGCTTTTCCTGATAACCAATTCAAAGTTGCAAATTACAGTTAGTGGAGCACTTTTGGTCTTTTCCATCCAGGGGCTGCTCCTGGTCCTAACAGGTAATTGCTTGCCCTTCCGCATTAGTACTGATTCCAGAATCATTTTGTAGTTCAACTTTATCATACCCTTTTATATTCGTTTGTTGGGTGAGGGCTTGCTTTTAGACAGAGTGTCACTGTTAGTCCAGGCTGACCTCATGATCCTCCTGCTCAGCATATCCCAAGTTAAGATTTGACTAACTCTATTCTTTTTTGTTTTTGTATTTTTGTTTTTTGTTTTTTGTTTTTCGAGACAGGGTTTCTCTGTATTGTTTTGGAGGCTGTCCTGGAACTCACTGGGTAGACCAGGCTTGGTCTCGAACTCACAGAGATTTGCCTGCCCCTGCCTCCCGAGTGCTGGGATTAAAGGTGTGGGCCACCAACGCCCAGCCCTTTGACTCTATTTTTTTTGGTTTTTCGAGACAGGGTTTCTCTGTGGCTTTGGAGGCTGTCCTGGAACTAGCTCTTGTAGACCAGGCTGGTCTCGAACTCACAGAGATCCACCTGCCTCTGCCTCCCAAGTGCTGGGATTGACTCTATTCTTAACATAGGAGATGTGAGCCTTCCACTGTGGGCAGCAATGTGCACCATTTTACAAGTGAGAAAACTGGAGTTTGAGTCGGTTATTAAAGGGATTGTGCAACTAGTTACCTAGGAGGAAAAAACAATCCAAGTCTTGCACCCTGAAATTTCACTGTCTTTTGGCCCATGGGGTTGCAGACCCTGAGCTGTGTTCTTCAAAGATCAGAACATAGACCAGTACTCTGTCCTGCTAGTTCTGAGTATACTTTGAGGCCATCTACAACTGTCATAAGCTAAAACAAACCAATGTGAAGGTATTTGGCACTGGAGATTGTTTTCTCCCAGAGACAGGGGAGTGATTTAAAGATATCAGTAGAAATGGAGCTGCAACAGTGATGAGAAAATGGGAAGAGACAAGAAAACATCATCAAAAACCACTCACATTGTGTTAAAAGCTACGAATATCAGCCTATGTGAAGAACCGGGAAGAAAAACAGAAGGCAAGATACATCGGCGTCCAGAGAATTCAAGAAGGGAGACATCGAGGCAGATGAAGGTTCTGAGAGGCCCCTGGGAACCAGGGCTCTGAGTCAGGCCTTGTAGAAATGTTCCAATTTGTTTAAGTGAAGGGACTAGGTCTTCCAGTTTTGAAACACAGCACAAGGAAAAGGGAAGTGAAGAATTTCTGTCCGAGCAACTATCCTAGGTCTGGATATTGTCACATCCGTTAGCAGCTCACTCTGCGGCAGGAGGAAGCACGGTGGGAGCTAACGGTAACAAGAAAGAGACTAGGTTACAGCAGAGTACCTGAGTGACAGCAGAATGAAAAAGAGGGAGCCAGGAGAGCTCAGCCAGGGGAATTTTCATTACCTTCTCCCCTCGTGCTGATCCAACATGGTTCCATGATGCTTGGTTGTTTAAGACAGGCCACAGGCAATCAGAAGGTGGGGACTGTTTCATACATCACTACCCTGATTGTTCAACCACGGCATCCATCAGAATCACCCACAGAGCTTATGCTGCTGCCAGTTGTAAAGTATACCCCTCAGGATTTCTTCCGATTCGGCAGATCTTGGGTTAGGCCTGAGAAAATGCAGGTGAAACACGTTTTCAGACTTACCAGTTGTGTCTGGTAATTCTTTTTCTTGCTTCCTGCAACTCATAGCATTCTAGGATATTCATAATCTTCCCTCCACACTGAATAGAGTTGACTGGTGTGGCCATACTTTGTGTGGAAGTGATGACTGTCTAAAATTAGGCTATAAAATAAATTGATTTTAAGTCTCTGAGATTATTCCTTTTCCAGGAGAGGAGATAGCTGTCATGTTGTTAGGACACTGAAACAGTCTTGTGGGGAGGCCCTCGGGAGGAAACTGAATCCTCCTACCAGCAACCAGCACCAACTAGTCAGCCATGGGACAGAGCTACCTCAACAACAGAGGCAAAGGCCCAACTCACCAACCACTCAGATGACTGAGCCCCTGCCAATATTGCCACTGCCACTCCATGGCAAGAACTAAGTCAGAGCCTGCAGAAGCCTTGAATGTTAGCAGCAGGTCATGGTATTTAGAGATTATTTTCAGTAGAGCCACAGATAACTAGCACACCAAATTATGTTGATGCTACTGGTCCAAGGACCACATTTCAGCAGTGAACATGTCATTGCTGTGTGATTATGCTGGCAAAGTTGCCAGGTCAAGACACAATATCTACCATAATTATCAATGTGCACATGCAAGAGCTTGGCAGGTAGAGGAGGAGGAGTGTAGACCCACAGCACTGCCCTTCGGTTTCTCTTTATGGCCTGCAGAATACCTGTCAGGACAGCCATCTGATCCCTATGGGGACCTTCCACTCACCTCTATGCTATTCTTTTACATCACCCGTCCTCCCTTTTCTATTCCTGATCCCTTCTGTCTCCCTCTTTCTTTCCTCTAAAGTCCACATGGAGACTCCCAAGCCTCTATAGGAGCTGTCTCCCAGTATGCCTCTCTTCCTCTAAAGTCTACATGGAGACTCCCAAGCCTCTACAGGAGCTGGCTCCCAGTATGCCTCTCTTCCTCTCCTCTACATTTCCCCCACAAATCAGTTCCCAGTAAAACACCACAAAATACTTACTAACACTAGTTGCCAATGCTAGGCAGAGTCTACAGACATAAATCAGATTCATTCACATCCAAAAAAATCTTCCATTCAAAACTCCACAGGACCCTGGACCAAGATGCATGGTCCTTCCTTGCTATACTGCAACTTCCCCACTACCTCATCACAGTTTCCTTTCAGACTAATGTGGGTGCAATGCTGTGACCACATAAAGTTTTATATCACCTCACCTCATGCATGTGATGTGTAGAAAAAGGTTCAACAAGAAGTCTCCCATTGAAGGTGACCCAGCCCAGAACACATCCTCTTCATCTCCAGATATTTGGTTCCTGAACTAGCCCAAGGCCTCTTTACTTTGATACCTTGCTCTCACTCATTCACACTCTCACTCTGTTGGTTTCAGCTTCAGATTTCTTCGTCTTTCCTTACATCTGTGCTTGGGATGTTTGTGAAGCATTTCCAGGATTCAGCTGGGGTTTCTGAAAAAAAAATGGTGTCTTGTGTGTTACAGGGAGTTTTGAGTGGCAGCATAGCTTCTCTGTAGCCCAGAATGCTGAACTCAACATAGTTGAATGATTTCAACATGTTATATGTTGGGATTAAGTAGCACAACCAGGATCCCTTATCCCTTCTTAGTCTCAGATGTCATCTCCAAGACAGACATCGTCTCCAAGAAGGTGGTGGCCAGCCCCGGGGAGATATTGAGTCCATTCTCAAGTATCAAACTTCTCCTAAGCCTTCCCAGTCCAGACTTGTTAGACAATATGAGTAAATATCTAGACAACACAGGCCACAGAAAGAAATAGACTGGACAGTTCCACAAAGGACAGAGGCCGCAAGCGATTATGTGCCCAGACACAGTTTAGCCTCACCTCTTCAGCAGCTAAAGTCAGAAAACTCTGCAGCAAGGCTGTGTTATAGAATATTATGTGCCCAGACACAGTTTAGCCTCACCTCTTCAGCAGCTAAAGTCAGAAAACTCTGCAGCAAGGCTGTGTTATAGAATATTATTTTAAGGTATGTTACATTTGTTTATGCTCTGAAACATTTGTTTAACTATGTAAAGATATGTTGCTTTTGTTTACGCTGCATTTGTTTAATTCTGTGAAGTTGTGGTTCTTTGCCTATCTGAAACACCTGATCATTTAATAAAGCACTAAATGGCCAATAGCAAGGCAGGAAAAAGGCTAGGTAGGGCTGGCAGACAGAAAGAACAAATAGAGGAGAAATCTGGTAGGGAAGGAAGGAAGGAAGGAAGGAAGGAAGGAAGGAAGGAAGGAAGGAAGGAAGGAAGGAAGGAAGGAGCAAGAAAAGCAAGGAGAGGAGGACGCTAGGGGCCAGCCACACAGCCACACAGTCAGCCACGGAGTAAGAGTGAAAATAAGATGTACAGAAGGAAAAGAAGGAAAAAGCCCAGAGGCAAAATGTAGAAGGGATAATCTAAGTTAAGAAAAGCTGGCTTGAACTAAACCAAGCTAAGGCCAGGCATTTATGAGAAAGAATAAGACAAGGTGTGTGATTTATTTGGGAGCTGGGTAGCAGGTTCCCCAAAAGAGTGAAGAGCAAAAGGGTAGAAAACAAACAAGGCTGCCTCACATCCACCAGGTTGGAAGTAGAATGCTTGATCTTGTCCTTGGATCTTCTCACCTAGACGAGATGCCCCACTTTGAGAATGGTGCTCCGGTCCCTCGGTTGCCCAGGCTGCCAGCGAGCCTGGCAGCGTCTGCTCCCTTATCTACAGACCACTCAGTGCCCTCACATCAATCCTAGAATATATCCTGCATCCACAAAGTCCCTGATCCCATCCAGTTCTGCCCTGCATTTCCATAGCTCTGCTGTGTTACTTTTCTCGCTGCTATGATAAGATACCTGTCAAGAACAACTTCAGGAAAGCAGGGTACGTTTTGGTTCACAGTCCAAAGGTAGAAGAGGCACGGTGGCAGAAGCAGGAGGTGGCTGGTCACATGACGTCACACTCAGGAAGCAGAGGGAGATGGATGCTGGTGCTCCATTTTCACTCTTTTAAACTTTGGTTGTTGTTGTTTTTTTTTTTAATTAAGACACAATGTAACAGTTTTCCTGATGACATTTTTATACATATTTTTTGATAATGCTCTCTACCCTCCCCATCAGCTCCATGTGTAATTTTCCTCTCCAAGAGTCCATTTTCATGTCTTGCAGAGTTTCTTTCTTTTTTTCATTGTTCTTTTTCCGGTTTCACGATCTAAAAGCAAAATAAAAATAAATCTTGATCCAAACAATACATGCTAGAAGAAGAATACTCAGAATAGACCACAAAGTATGTCTTAAAATAAAAATAATAATTTCAGTAAGACTACATCTTTCATAAATTAGGCATTAAATCTGATATAAGAGGCAATTAATAAATTGTACTTCAACAAAACTGAGAAGTTTCACTCTTCCAGATATTTTTAAAAAGGAGAAGATAGGCCCATGAATGGAAAAGAAGATTTGTAAAACATAGATGATACATTTAAAAAAAAGAAACTGTTTGGAATATAGAATGACTTTAAACTTTTTTACCAAATTTTGTTTCATTATTTTACATACAGACCACAGTTTCCTCTCCCTCTTCTCCTCTGCCCCCCCCACACTCTACCTCCCCCACACTATCTGCTCCACCTAGGTCTCCATTCAGAAAGGGGCAAGCCTCCCACAGGAGTCAACAAACCATGGCAAATCAAGTTGAGGCAGGACCAAGCTCCTCCCCCTGTATCAAGGTTTGGCAAGGCAACACAGCTTGGGGATTGGGTTCTCAAAGCCAGCTCAAGTGCCAGGGACATGTCCTTCTACTGCTAGGGGCCCCACAAACAGACCAAGCTACACAACTGTCACACACATGCAGAGAGCCTAGGTCAGTCCCATACAGGCTCCCTAGCATGTCAGTCCAGAGTTGGTGAGCTCTCATGAGCTCAGGTCAGTTGTCCCTGTGGGTTTTCCTGTCATGACCTTGATCCCCTGGCTGACTCAAACAATCTGAAATCAGATGGTGACTATCCTAATTGTCATCAGAGAGCATTCATCCAGTAACTGATGGAAGCAGATGCAGAGATCCACAGCCAAGTACTGGGCTGAGCTCCAGGAGTCCTATTGAAGAAAAAGGAAGGATTGTTTTGTTTTTAGTTAATAGTTTTTTAATTTTCTTTGAGGAGGATGTTACAGGCATGAGAGGCAGATATGGAGGAACTGGGAAATGAGTGGGATTGGGCTTCATGATGTAAAATTCCCAAAGGATCAATTAAAGCATTATGTTATTTAAACAATGGATCAGTTTATGAGCTCCCACCCCTACCTAGCTGATGATCTATTGACAGTTGATGGTTGCTGAAGGAGGGAGACTCAGTTTTCTTTAGGGCCTTAGATGTGGTTGCAAAGCAGCACTACTGGACTCAATAGCTTATTTATTTTTTTAAAATAAGGCATGAAGTTGGGAAGAGATGGGAGGAATTAGAGGAAGAAATTGGGGTGATTATAACCCAAAGATTTTGTATGCACATATGAAATGCCCCCAAGCATTAATGAAAATATTATATAAGAAACTGAATCAAAATCATCATGGGTTTTTTATTATTCTAAAAATTCTCACAAGTAAAATGATGTTTATGGGGAAGGGTCTGCTTCACCTCACAGCTTAGCTGCATGAGTGCTCTTCCTGGAGCCTGACGCTTGACTTCAGAGCAAGACACCATAGAGAAGACTAAACCAATACACTCTGAAACAATAAGGTGGTGTTATGTCTTGTATGTAAGATGCTCCCCATGGGCTGTTGGGTTTGAACACTTGGTCTCCAGCAGGTGGTGCTGTCTGGGTAGGTTTGTAACCTTAAAGAAGGGCTTAACTTGAGGAAGTGGGAGGTGGGACTCTAGATGTGTAGCCTAGCCTGCTTCCTGTCCTCTCTCTGCTTCCTGTCCTGTTGGGATGTGAACAGGCAGCCTTCTACTCCTGCCACCACAGCTCTGAGCTGTCCCTAATACAATGTCTCCCCTATCCTGGTGAACTGTACCTTATAACGTGAGCCAAAGGAAACCCTTCCTCGCTTGATTTGCTCCTTTTCAGGTATTTGGTCACAGTGATGAGAAAGCTAATACAAGTGTGGTGAGAAGTGAGCCTGAACACAATACTCCCCTTAGATCAGAACTCACAGGGCCCCAGGCTCAGGCCCCACACATCTCTAAAGGCCAACATATCTTCTCAGGTGTCTGAGGCCAGATAGCACTAACAGGATCATCCCATGGAACCCCTAAAGCCTGTGTCTCCTTCAAGATATTGCTCTGCCTCCTCCTGACCAGATGTCCCAAAGATTTGTACCAATGTGGTTTTGCCCACAGTTCTCACAAGTGGACCCTGAGTCTAGGGGTCAGTTTGTCAGGTGGATGGGTTCTTCTAACAGGTGCAGTATATTTCAAGAGATTACACATGACTGGGCTGCTAGCACGGTGTCTTCACACTTACTTTTGTGACACTCATGTCAGATACAAAGTAAATTTAGAACTCTAGACTACCAAAAATGCATCACCTGTCTTTTGGTTTGAATGGTATGTATGGATCTATGCATCTACTGTCTGTCTGTGTCCAACCTTCACTCTAGAGTACCCAAAAGTGGTGTGGATACTCAAGTACTCTCATGCATGACATTCCAACTTCTCTGGAAGCTCTGTGTCATATGTGAGACATCCCTGAGCACAGCTGGATCATCTCTTCCTCTGTGCCAACAGCCCCTGGTGAATGTCTCCTCTTGATTCTATTAAAAATGCAACATCCTGTTCTTCCTTGTTAACATTACTTACTATGGTTCTATGGATCAAACTCATGACCTAGGACATGCCAGGCACACATGCTACCTCCAAACCACACCCCAACTTTCCTCCTCATTAATCTCAAACCATCTCCAACCAAATACTACCATTTTCTCCATCAGGATGTCTTTCATCTACCTCCCCTGCAGGTGGCAGTATATGGAGAGATGTTGCTGAAAAATGCATCCTTCAATGTTCATTACAAAATTCCAAAGCATCAATTTATTATGCCATGGCATAAAGTTTTGTCCATATTTTGTATAGTATGGTTACGACTTGTACCTGTGGTCATCACCAAGAACAGCCTTTGGGAGAGTCAGTAGACTCCTGGTTGGTGTGAAATATGACAGTGTGATGATGACACACCAGACTTCACTGCATGTTACAGAACTAGAGAAGTGAGATTATATTGTTTTTAAAGAACACATTCCTAAGACCCATGGCATTCTGTATGACAGGACCATTGTAATCTTGTTCTCAGTGAGACTAGCCAGCAACGAGGCACCTAACAATAAAGAATATTAAGAGTTCCTGGACCTAAGCAGAACAGTCCCTGTCGACATACTATTAAGAGGTTGGGCATGGTAGTGTATACCTGTGATTCCAGCACTCTGGAGGCAAAGATGGGTGGATTCTGGTGAGTTTGAGGCCAGTCGATTCTACATAGCAAATTCCAGGCCAACCAGGGTTATATAGTGACACTTTATCAAACAAACAAAAATTCAATGAAGAATTTGTGCATTGCAAGATTTGACGGCAAAAAATATTTTTTTCATGATTATAAATCTTCATTGATAAAATGACTACACCTCACATGAACCCATAAATGTTATAATACTATAATTTTTGGAACAAGATCTTTCTTGTTGTCATAAGTGACTTCAAAACCATAGTCCTCCTGCCTCTTAAGTGTTAGATCTACAGGTATATCCTACCATACTGACTAAAAATGCCTTTTTATAATTGCTTTATTTGAAGTAATTAATACACCATTAAGCTTATTCTTCAAACTGTGCATTTCAGTGGTTCTCAAAGCAGATTGCAGAGGCTTGCAACTATTATCACCAACTATAGAATTTTAACCATGCTAATAATAAAAACTGTGTATCCACTAAAAGTTACTCCCATGTCCTTTCCTCCAGCCACTAACAAACACTGGCCTACTGTCTCTTTCCATGATTAACCTGTACTGGGCATTTCTTGCAGAAGGAAGTACAAAATAAATACTCTTTTTCTGGTTGCTGTTTCTGACAGATAATGTTCCACTGTATAGCTGCCCATCATAGTTTATTCACCTGCTCATTGGCTACTAAACATGTGGGATGCTCCTACTTTGGGCATGGCAATGAGTGATGCTGCTAATTAGGAGGAACGATCAAGTTAAAATGCAGGACAAACACTCTGTTTTCCCTGACCTTTAACCATTTCCTGAACAAATGACTCCCAAATTGTTGTGAGCCTAGGATTAATTCTCATGATCTTGGAAAAGTTGGTTTTGATGGTTTTCCTACTGTTCTTGATATATTTATGAAGATTTTCCCAGGTCCATGGGCTGTGATTCTAGAGGTTCTTTGAACTGTCTATATAAACAAGGGACCCTGAATACTCTAGTGGCAGTTCTGTCCCAAAGAAAGCCGGTGATGTATTTTAGATACCATGCCATGGCAAGATAAGGTTATAAGAAAAGAGACTCTTGAGTCAGGTGATAAAAAGCTATCAGAAGCCATCAAATGAGCAATAATGGAGACTCGGTGGGCTGGGCGAGGCGGGGATAGGCGGGGCTGAGGGAGAACTGGGTTGGACTGAGGGCAGGGTGGGGCCGGGCTGGGCTGGGAGAAGCTAGGCTGAGCTGGGCTGGGTTGGGCTGGGCTGCTGCTTCCCAGCCGATGGGAGAGAGATGGAACCAGGCATGGATCCAGATTTGATAAATGTCTCAGTGACACTACAGATTCCAACTCTTGGTATCCATCTTGTCACCTTGAAATCAGAGCCATGTGTTTTTGTGATTGCTGCTATGACCTCCTGGGCTTCTCATGGGAACTTAAGTTAGGCGAACGTCTGCTTCTTTGGACTGAGAGAGGCCAACAGAAAAAAAAAAGCCAGACAGAAAAACAGGCCCAGAATTCACATTGTCATATCCAAGTAATAAAATAGTCTAGGAAGCTTGAAATTATTAACAAAAGGCAGACAGAGAAGGACTTCAGAAATGGGAGAAAAGCAAAAATCCACAAAACAAGCACTTTAAAATCTTACTTATTCTTTAAGGATTTCATACACGTATACCATGTATTTTGAATATATCCACCCCTTCGCTGTCCACCTCCAACTGCCCCTAAATCCCTCCCTCAACATCTGCCATTCCAAATTTCATCCCCTCCTAACCTCCTAGTGAGGGCTGCCAGTTCCT